AACCCCTCTACTTACCAATAAGATCACTTCTGTCCAAGAGTAACTCTAGATCTTTATCACTGATTACTTTTTCTTTAGATCCTTTAACCTCCCTGTTGAGGAAGAAATAATCTCTGTTAATACAGATAAAAGCATGTTACAGTTAGCATTGCATAGAAGTCAGTTTTCCCACATAGCAGAAACCCTAGGACATTCTTCTGCTATGAAGATCCACAGACCACTTCATAAGACAAGAGAGCTGCTGACAGCTGCTTGCAAGCAAGTTACAAACTCATGGTCCAAGAAAAATATAAGACCTGCATACCTCTCATAGTCTCTGGATTTCAGTAATTCTATTAATTCCTGAGGGTCCAGGCAGCTCTTCGACTGTGCTAGACCAGATTTGCCACCTTTAAACTGATCTGTAGAAAGGATAAATTAAGAAAATACAGAGAAACAGAAAAAAAAAATCTGTAAATCGTCAAATCAATGCTGGATGCACACACTGAACAAATTACTCTTGCACATCAAAACTAAGGCTATGTTTCCATTGTTTCAGCCCTCAGGTAAACACACCTTACAATAATAGCCTAACTGGTGAAAAAATGTCAGAGGTACATGAAGAGTTTACATGCAGGCCTTTTACCTTCAAGCTGTAGTATGCAGAAGAACTGATTGAAACACCAATTCAACATGCACACACGCACACACAGAGCAGAAAAGCCATTAGTTCTACTTACAGTAAAAACATTGTAAATAAAGTTAGATGCTGGATGCTGAAGTTTGTTTCCTTTGTATTGTAAGCTGGTTGAAACAAAGTAAGCAGTATTAACCACAAGATAGGAAATACATGAAAGAGATGTGGTTTGCAGAGAGAACATCCCTCAGTTTAATGGATGAGACAGACATGACAAAGTAATGTACCTTACACAGGTCGGTTTCTTGAAGGGACTATGGTAACACCTATCCACACACAAATCTGGATGTCAGCCCAAATATAAAAAAATTATACAAGATTATTACTTAACTAAAGCTGAACATGGATGAATTCAAGTTCAGTCTTGCACATTTCAAGGAGACCAGCAAGGCTTACTGTTCTGTGCCAAGTTTCCCCAGTTTTTAATTAACAGATGTACCCACTTTATTAATGGGTCTTCACTGATCCCTTTCATCACACTGTTGTTCTTTCCTGTATCTTCTTTCAGAAGTTCTCCCCACACCTTTTCCTACCTCCCTCCATGGACTGGCTGTTTCTCTGTGAAGTGCAAGTCAGATGCAAGTTCCAGAGGGTTTGAGCTAGAGTATCCTCTCCCCATTAACACCTCCTGCTGTGACACACAGGACCCAGGTCCTGTCATGCATTATTAGTGATGCAGTCTCTCCCTTTTAGTTTTCAGAGTTTCATAAACTATATGGCAATGAATTAGTGCTGTACAGGTCTTGGTTGCAATAACAGCGACACAGAGAAAAATACCAAAGACCCTATCAAGCATGTAACATTTTAAATAGAAGTTTATGTCATCAGTTCTGCTTAGTCTGACATCTACTAACCTAACTAAAATCACGCTGGTTCTCATGCGGTTTCCTAGGCAACTTTCTTCAATAAAACAGAACCACAAAACAGAAAGAGTAACCTGGTGCCGAAGCCAAAAAAGCATTGTTTTGCAACAAATTCCAGTTCTTAAGCTCCAGTACTTGTACTGTACACATCTTACTTGGTTAGACACCACTGAAAGGTCTGACTTAAGCAAGCTCTGTGATATCCCTTCCTCATTCACTCCAAAGTTCCAACACTTCTTTAGGTATTCAGATTTAAAGAATCCATTACATCACCTTCACATAGTGGATACAAAGTTTCCTGGAGGAGACACCCCTACCTAGGCTGCAAGACCGAGATATGATTCACCAATAGTTACCAAGATAAATACTCTACTTATTGCAAAGCTGAAAGCATGACCCAACTTGAGACAGCTTTCTTCCAGTATAATTAGTTCCAGTTCCCATTGCTGCTTTAGTATATGCCAGTCATCTACTATTAGAGCCCATTCTGGTTTGTGCACTCATCTTGCCACTTCAGTTTTAACTACAGGGTGGACCATAATCAAATCACTAAAAATAATTCTTTTCTTACTTAAATTGGTTGTTAACATACCTACAAAGAGTCAGACAGTAGTCCTGGCAGTCACACCAAGACAGTAGTGGCAAACAGATTACAAAGGAAAAGGCTAAATCTAGGATAAAGGAAGCACCTAACAAAGATTAGCTAACCTCATCCAAAACCAGAGGCAAACCACAGCTCAGGCTTGACAAACGCTGCACTGTGCAGTAGACAGTTACAGGGGTGGCCTTTCTGTCCCTTTATGCCCTGATGAAAATGCAGGTTTTCTCCCCCTTAATATAATAGGAAAAGTTCTTAACCTCCTTTAAAGTTTAATATAAGGCTAATTATTGTCAGAAGCCAATACCAAGTTACAAGAATTCTATTTTTCAAGTGAGCTTAGTGTTTGGAAAATGCTATAGGGAACTACTCTCCAAACATCACAAACAGAATAAGCTATGGAAGCAAAGCAGGATTCCAATAGGACCCAAACAACAAAAATTTACCCCCAAAAGACACACTTCAACCCAAACACTTTTCTAAAGACTTTTGAGTATGACCAGCTATACAACCAAGAACACAAGAATCACTATTGTTCTGCACATAAAATCAAGGACTATTGTTCTATTCAGCATTGGTTAATTGTTCAAACAGGACTATTCTACTGCAGTTATAACATACTGTTCTTAAATTCAGAGGGACAGATGCAAACAGAACGATGAAATTTTTTACAGTGATTTTAAAACTCTAGGATTTGCAATCTCAACCAAATGTAGTAGAAACACCCCAGAAACCAACTTTTTATAATCTCTACTCATTTTACCAATTTTAATAGGAATACTCCCTATTCAAACAAGTTTGCCAGTGCAACTGGAAAAATCTATCACTAAACTTCACATCATGAAACATTGCTCTAGATGTCATTAGGTAGGCATATTGCTCCAAATGAAGAACTGTAACAAGTTAAATTGCAAACAGTAAGAATTTTTTTTATCTGCTTTGCCATTTATATTCTAGTTCATTTAATTTGATCGTAAAAAGATAATCAACTCAGACTTGTCACCTACCCCCAGCATTTTCGATGTTAAAAGTCCAAAAACATTTGTGTCAAACAAACTATCATCTTGCTGACAAGCCCCCAACAAGCCCAGAGCTATACTCTCTTATTGCCTGGATTTACTTACATTTCTTCCAGGTAGGCTCACTGTCTCATCACCATTTTTTTTTTGCCTTACCTACTAGTAAAGGAGTAGTCATAACATGGTGATTCCAGAAATACTAGAAGCGCTTTCCTTTAATTTGTTGCAGAAGTTATCTATAATGTGTCTAAGAATGCATTTTGAAAAGTAATACTACATAGCCACTTGTTGGGAGGATGAAGCTTTTTGCATTTATACGAAGCAATCACAAAACAAAGCAGTAAGAGTTCTCTCGAGATTCAAAGAAGCAAAACATGCTTACAGGAAGTCATAAGAGAAAGATACTAACTTTTGTGGATAATCAGCTTCTCCAGCTTCCTCTTGGCGGCAGCTCTCTCTACAATTTTCTGGTCAATAGTATTTGCTGTCACAAGACGATAAACAACCACTGGCTTTGTCTGGCCAATTCTGTGACATCTGTCTTGGGCCTGCAAGTCTGACTGGGGGTTCTGAACAGATAAAGAAACAAGTTAGGTACACCATTTAGCTTTTTTTTAAGATGCGTACCACAGGCAGCTTTTTCAATAGTGAGCTCAGAGTCGGAGCAGAAGCAATAAGCAGGGCAGCCATGGTATAACAGAACGCCACATCTCTTTACTCAAACTCATTCATGACAAGCTCTGCTGCTATATGTAGCTGCACAGCCAGAGGAATCCAACTAGCCTGGACTGCTTCTGCACTATGTGCTGCAGTTTTCAACAGGTGTACATGTTTTGTATCACAAACTTAGCTGAGGATGTTAGTTGTTGTTTTGTGGGGTTTTTTGTTGGAGGATAAGAAGAGGGATTTTAAAAAGTTTTCAGTCATTTCTGAAGCTGCTGTAGCTCTCCTGAAGCTGAATAATCATGCTAACAGCAGAGCTGTCTACTAAAATAAAATGAAGATGCAGAGGTCCTCAGTCATTTCCTTCGATCCTTCTCTTCTTCCCAGCCTCCAGACTCACAGGAGCAGCAGAATCCTAGCTAGCTAAAACACATGTGGCCAGTCACAGGAGGAAATTCAAGGGGCTGGTACTAACATGGCAGCTGTTAGAAACAGGGAACCTGTAGAAGGTCTGGCTACATTCAAATTTAAATAAATTGAAAGAAGGAAATGTATGCAGTAACAAAAAAACCCCTTTTGCTTTTGGTGTAACTCAGGGACAAACAGGCCAGTTTTAGAAACCAACTCTGACATTGTATTTTATAAGTTACGACTTTTCAAACAAGGCTACATATTTCATATATAACATTTTGCATGCTTACTATTATGTTCATGTAACACCTCATTGAAGTTACAGAAACGGTCTATACCATAACGGGTTAGTAAATTATTATCAAAAGCAGCAATAGAGAAAGCACTTTATGACACATATCACTAGGTTAACAGTCTGTCAACATACCCAGTCACTATCGTAAATGATAACTGTGTCTGCCGCAGTTAAGTTAATGCCCAAGCCTCCAGCTCTTGTACTCACTAGGAACAGGAAGACTTCAGGGTCAGTATTAAATTGATGCATCTGGAAGAGAATTCACATATTAAAAACTAGCAGATGTATCAAACACAACATAGCTAATGTTTTATTTTGAGACACCTGTATTTAAAAAGATGAACACAGATAAAATACAGCACAGAGGCCACACCAAGGCTTTAAGAAACATTGCATGCATTTGGGACAGGACCAGACCAAGAAGTGAAGCAATTGTATTTTCTTATCTGATGAGTCAATGAATCTAAAATACTGATGACGACTGTAACTTCCAGACACCCTGTATACCTCCTGCTCTTCAAAACTAAGAGTAACGTTCTGGTCTCCTACGCAGCATCCAGCCTACTTTCACACTGCAAGATGCTTCCCAGTGTCAGCACAGCTCCTACTGGGTCTGCAATACCAGTCAAAACCTCGTCTACTTAGTCTGATCGCCCACATGCTGGTAGAAAACTGGAAGCGTATAGTCATTTTCAGGACTTTGATCACAGCAGAGAAAAAGAAACGATCACCGCCCTGCCAGGTGGAAGCAGCTACTCAAACTCTCTAAGAGCCCCATATCCTCTGGGCTCTCCTGGACATCAGCATCTGCAGCACCAGCAGCAAATCATGGAGCTAGGAAGAGCCTTGCTGAACTTAAAACTGGTGACTTGGATGATTTCTCTCATCCTGCATCCATACCACACAGTGGTAGGCACACAATCAATTCCTAAACATTTCCAGAAGCCAGCAGTACAAGATTTTACCAACTTAATAAGAGTCACTATAGCTTGCAGACATGTTGCTAGTTAGCCTTTCCTCCTTTAGAATCTGCTCTAACAGTAGCAACCTAAGTGGTTCGGGGTTTGGTTTTCCTCAGCCACACTGTGGCACAGAAAAAGAAACAGGGCAAAAGGGAAGCACAATTTAAGGTAGATGATCTGTCATCTGCCAATGTTTTTCTGTATCTTCATGAACACTGTGCATACTTTGGAGACCAGATGGCAATTGCAGCACATCCCCTAGATACATCCTGTGTACTACTTCCATATATGCATTGCCCTTTTACATCCCTGTAAATCCTCAGAGAGGTGGTTTTCCAGAATCACCCTGCGTGGTTGCTCTTCACGATAAATATATGCCTCAGTAGTAAGGCATTCTGTGATTATTTGAAACCATTACAAGAACAAAGGATTGTGCTGGAACAAATCCACGTGCAATTTCAGGCTGAAGTTACAGGTGTCCCATTAGGTGCAAAACCTCATTTCCTAGAAATTTACTTTATTTGGCATTAGCCTTACAGTACACACCCATAGATGCTGGCATCACATCCTGGATGCTAGGAAACAATATGCACAGTGGTAAAACTGGGATTAGCATCTGTCACAATCTAGATATATTACATATTTCACATCTGAGCAACAGAGTACGTCAGCACCCACCATTCTAAGCATACATCAAGATATTGGTTAGTAACACATTTCATTGCTTCAGCATTTCTGAGCTGCAAATATTAAAGCAGCAGTAAGGATGTCAGTTTTCAACATAGATGTCTTTTGCCTATTAAAAGCTAAACGCTGTGCGAAATCATATTCCAGTGTCACAGGACCAAGCAGAATTTACTAACAGGCTCAAAGGGCGTGTACATCTACTTACATTTTCTTCTCTCTCCGAGTAGGACATAGAGCCATCCAATCGACTAAATTTGAAGTCTCTGAGATAGCAGTAATCCATCAAAATGTCGAGCATCATAGTCATTTGTGAGAACAACAAGACCTACAAAACCAAGAATATTCTTTAATACCATTTTTTAATCATAAAGGGACAACTATGCCCCCCCACCCTCTCGCCCCAAAATCATTAGCTTTACCTTATGTCCTCTCTTTTTCAGTTCTGGAAGCATTCGGTCCAAGAGTAGAAACTTGCCTGAATTCTTTACTAGATCTTCATCAACCTTGGAACAGGGGACAGGGGATCATATGTTAGGAGGGAAGGATACCAAAGGCTTCCCCAACTCAGAGGCACCAACAAAAGCTGTCTGAAAGCTTCTCGCAGAAACAAAAACTTGTACCATCTTTATAACTAAAAGCCTTAAGATTGGAAGCAACACTAATTTTAGCAAACTACATTGAACCAGGTAAATCATGACAAAATTAAATCAAACCGCACTGTTTTATACGCCCAAATATTTTTTTTTTTTTAAAAACTAGTTAGTTTTCATCCCATATCTGGAAGGAGAAAGCCTGATGATTTTGATTTTTCCACATGGAAAAGCACTGCTGGTTTTTTTTTCCCCCAGCTTGTAATTAATGCACAAGGCTTCCACCTACTGGACGTAAGGAAGCAATGCTGAACAAGTTACTACACATCAGCCAAGTGACAAAAGCTCACAGAACATGTTTTCACAGTGCTACCTTAGACTTCTCTTTTGCTCAAGACAGTTTGTTACATCTAATTCTTGCTATGGGCTAACAGCAGGTATATAGAAACTTCTCAGGTCTAAGCCATACAACAGCCACCTTGATAACCCCTAATCCATTTTCCTGAGCAGGTACTAGCTCCTGCAAGTGGTGCCAATGTCAAACAGTCTACATTTTCTACACATTAACTAATTTCCCCTCATCACCCACACTGGGCTATCTGCTTTTTATGCGCTGACTTTACATTGATAAACTTCAACAGCTTGCTCCTAAGTGCAGCTGAATCTGTTATCACTCAATGAACAGGAAACATGACTACACATGCCCACAAACCTACATTTAGAATGTGCAAGCAATTTCCGGTTGTTCAAGATTCTTTCAATTCAAATTAGTTCATAGTTTCCTATATTTCCAACTGCTTTGTGTAGATTAAACTACCAACTGGCCTTTGTAATATAATTTGATTTTTTTCTGTTTTGAGGAGGAAAAAGGATGCTGTATTCTCTCAGATGACTCTGTTGTACTTCGTTCAGCCCTCCAACACCTCACACTAAGTTACCACTGAACCTCCTGCAGCGTGTACAATTTGTCATGAAGAGTTGAAAGGTCAGCTTTTTTGTTTTGAAAATTAACCTTTGTGAAGGTTGCTTAAGGCAGATCCTAAACCAGCTTGAGTCAATGGAACCCAGCTACTGTTTAATTCAGTAACTTTGCTCCCAGCAGATAAGCGCTGCCACAATGAAGAACACTATGGTATCACTATGCAAAGGCTAAATGGGAACAGAGGCTGAACTGGTCTCTACAGCTGCTGCAGGAAGCATCAAATAATGACTCAGTACACTGCTGGAATTCAGTGAGGAGGCATATGCCAAATACGTTTAAAACATCATTCTTTACTGCCATCAGCTCACAGTCTATTGCTTTTTAATGCCTGGAATAATTTTTCTCATAATCCTTTTAAAATACATACCTTGAATTGTTGTGTAGCAGGGTCCAATGGATATTCAATAAGATAGGGGTGATTACAACATTTCCTCAGTAACATCATAATATTCTGCAGTTTAAGGTTCACCTCTGAATCCATGGGAATGCTCACTTCTACGACCGGCCTTGAAAAGATACGTCATCTTATTAGTACAGAAAGTGTCACCTTATTTTGCTACAGATACTGAAGAGGAAAAAAAAAAAAAAAACAAACCAAAATCAAGCAACGGATTCACATGCTGTGTCAAATGTCCTCAAAACCTCTCACAGTTAGCAAAGCTATTACCAGATTAAATTTCTTTTAGTGCCACACTTGACACTGAAGGTAGAAGGGTTTGTAATTATTGGTTTAAAATACAAAAGGGCAGTCAGTAGTAATCAGAAGCAGAAAAAACAACTTGTGCACGTCACCCAGCAGAAAAGTGAACAAAGGCAAGTCCTGACCATTTGTTCAAGATCGATCTCCTGCGGAACAATACATAAGCTATTCCAAAATCAGCTCTCTGCCTATCCCATTTCAGCCACACATACACATCGCAGGATTCACAACAAATACCATTTAGCTCTTACATTAGAGATGGTGCTTAGATGTGCAAGAGATCCATATGTACCATAAAACTAATACAAACATACATTTAAGTGTCCATTCTTGCAAAACACACTGGACTACAATAAAAATCTAGCAAAATAAATACACTTTAGTCCTGAAGATAAGCCCAAGGGACTTCCAACCAATTTAAAGCCAGCAACAGAACTCGTCAAACCCAAGAATAAACATGATTCCTCAACTCCCTCAGTCCTGAACATCAACTCTGATCTTAATCACCAGAAAGTGATCAATATCTGTCACCAAAACAGCAATGGCCATGCAGGCCATTTGGGTTCCAGGCCTCAGCTTAAACTGAAGTATTTTACAAAATTTAGCGAGGAAACTATCTTCCCTTTTCTCCAGTCTTGAGCCCAAACTTTGCTTCAAGTATTCCCCAGTAATTTCACAAAAACCTAGGAGTTAATTGTAGTTAGCACACCAGCATTATCTGCCTGTCCTGTCTTTGAGCTAATGAAAGATATATCTGTGAATGTCATTGGACATTGGGGACAAAAGGTTTACCTGAACCTTTGCAAAAACTGCAAAACCTAGCAATAAGCCAAGCTCTTCAGCTCTTTGTTCTCATTGCTAGCTGCAGCCAGGACCTAAGCTATTACAATGAAATTTCAACTACCAAATAACTAAGATGAAGCAGTTCTTCCCTGGCTGGCACTCAACATGATCTTAGACTTCAGAGTTCCATGAAACCACAGCTCTTCACTACCAAAATGTTTTAACAGCCCAAAGGAATTACATCCCACACTAGGACATTTTAGCTCTTTATGGATTATCAATAGCACTATCGTCACAGGACCTACCCAAGACTGTGACTAATGAAAACAGGGACTCAAGAAGCAATTTTATCACTAGATCCTGCAAAGGCCACAGGTCTAGGAGTGTCTTGTAATTAACTATAACTCTAATAAGTCAGTGAGTGATGGTACAATCTAATCATTGCTATCGTGGTCCAGCAAATATTAGGTAAAAGCAAAGAAGGAAATCATAAAGCTACAAGGATAGTGAATTACAAAGTGCCATTCTCCTTGAACAATTTGAATAAGCAAAGCTCTGGATGCAAACTATGTGGGAGATATTCAGTATAATAATAAAAAGAATTTTTTAGGGCAGGCACCTCTCTTTGTCTACTTCCTCTTGCATTTTGGTGATCAATTTTTCCAAGTCATCAGCAGAACCATTATGTTCTTCACAATAATCAACCAGTTTTCGACTACGACGTTTTGGTCGGCCTGTAGGACTCAACTCAACTACTTCTTCCTGTGGGAAATGATAAAGTTGCCATCAACAGCAGACAGGCCTTTGAATCTGAAGCTATGCTGACCGAAGAATTCTCAATACTGAAGAGAGGTCTCAATGATATGCATCATGCAATACTTAGACTCAGCAGCTGTAAGTTTGCTAAGTAGAACATGCAGCCCAAGTTTTAAAGGTCTATAATTGTAGATTTGGAACGCTTCTGCTTGAAACTGCATTGGTACCTTACTGATTTTACACCAGAAACCATCAACTCTGAAAACTGTTGTCTTTTTGCCCCCAAACTACAAATAATCAAGAACATACACTCATATTGTATTAGTTCTGTGCCCACTGAGGCCAGTCACAGTAACTGTTATTGAAAAAGGTAACAAAAGGATCAGACTAAAAATTTAAGCAAAAAGTGGGTTTAGTTACAACGGTAGTGAAACAATAACAATGCGCTTTTGCCTACAAACCATTAATAGCAAGCACATTTCTAACATCCATATCAATAGATACCTCATTATTTCCAAGCAGTTTCCTAATGGTGCGATTTACAATGGCAGTGTAGAAAGTTTCTTGCTTCTTTGCCAGCGGTGCATATACCACAACTTCTCGTTTAGGAGGAACCTCAAGAGCAACATCGGATTTCAGTCTTCTCAGTAAGAAAGGTGTCAGAATCTGAAATGTTGAGCAGATTTGTTACAATTACTCAAAGCTCTCAACATACCTAGTTTAAAAAAAACCAACCAAAAAAAGCCCAACAAAACACACACACCCCACATAGCTGGGTCTACTGATATAATGCTATTTTGACCAATTAAAGAGAGGGAGTTAATTTGCAGAGCTCCATATTTCATTTTTTAATATGGATGCCTACTCCAAAATTTTTAGACATGCTGGTAATACATGTGTTCAAACAACACATCCATTGACATTTGAAAAATTTTCAAGTGTTTAATAAGGGTGCAGTAGTAGCTACATTACAGAATTTCAAATAATTTTCATTAACTGAAAGTAATTTTATTAAACAGCTTATTTTGATTGTTATCTTTCTTAAATCAAGTTATTTCAGGAAAGCCCCAAACCTTTAACTGAAATAAATAATAAATTGTCATTGACAATTTTATCTAGAAGATAAAATTTATATCTCTTACCATCAGCTTATGATAAGAAAATGATAGTTCTGTAAGCATTTACTTCCACACACACACCCCCTTAAAAAAAAGTTTTGAGTGTTATTTGGTTTTGAAGACTGGCACATTATACAACTAGTTTGTCAAAATGGTATTCTGTTCAACACCTAAAAGGTACATAAATTCCCTCAAAATTATCTTTCAACAAAATAAATATACCAGTTAAATCTTTTGGCAAACAGAAGCAAGCGACTGCAATTAAATTTGACTAAACTCAATTCAGTTCCAAGAATAAAAATGAGTCATTATCAAAGAGGTATATTGTTCTTTTCAGCATTTATAAGTGCTGTAAACATTGAAAAAACCTCAGGAGTCTAAGGAAGTCCAGAAGTGGCACAATAAAAGCCTCAGACCCAGAATTCAGCTCCACAAACAAGACTTTGACATGCTTCATAATAATGGTCGATGTTAGAAATTAACCATGACAAAAACAACATAAAGAATAAGTGAAAACCTGGTGCAGCATATGCAAGATGTTTTGCTCCCTTTCTTTAGCGATAATATCCTCAGCAGTTTCTGTAATGCTGGTAATATCAAACCAGGATTCAAAGCTATAAAAATAAAGAAAAAAAAAAGAATAGCTTACTTAATAGCTATGATTCTTCATTATTTAAGTATACTATTCTTCTGTTATCCTGCAATTTAAGAAAAACAAAGCACTAATATCCATCGTGAACAGAGGTTGAACAGGAGGTATTTCCAAAATATACCTGTCAATTTAGATGCTTGAGGTTTTAAGTGATTGGTAAAAATACACTTGTATTAGTTGGAATATTCACTATGATTTATTATATTCCATCTAGTCTATATCTTTTTCCAAAATTAATCTGAAGATTGTTTTGGCAATGTGCTTCCACCTGACCCCCTGCTGCTTCAGAAGAGGATCCATCTCCCATGGGTCCCACGTCTGCCAGCCTCAAACAGCTTTCTCCAGCACCTTAGAGAACCTCAAGCAGCACCAGGCACTTATGATTAGACAAACATCTCCCCTCAAATGCTCATATCTTATCTCAGAGTTAAGCTTCCACTATCCGTAGAGCTGACAATTACTTCCTTACTTTCTGAAACAACCAAGCGTGAAAGCAAGACACATTTCAAAGCCTTTACCACCAAATAATCATACCAAAATCACAACCACACCATAAAATAGCTCTTCACGTGCTGATACAAGTTTAATAATTAAAGAGTCACAATAATGCCCAAACAGAACAAAGGGGAATAGTTTTCACCATCAGATCGCAACCTACCTTTTCAAATCATCAAACACATCTGGCAACAGGAAGTTAAGCAATGACCAAAGCTCTGCCAAGTTGTTTTGCAGGGGAGTACCAGTCAACAGGAGTTTATTGTCCGCATTAAATCGTTTCAATTCTCTGATAAGGCGGCAGTTCATATTTTTAATCCTGTGACCTTCATCTACTATCAGGTATTTCCAGAAGCAGTGCTACAAAAAGAAAGGGTATTTCAGTAAATCTTAGCTTTACTCCATCAAAACATGTGCCAGGTGAGATAAGCAGCACCAATAAGCCCATTACAAAGATTCTATTTACTGCTGTTTCTCACTTTGCCAGACTAGAAGAGTGGAGTCCAAACAGTTAATGCCATACACCTGCTTCATGGTGACTGCATTTAGTAAGCTTAGCTGATCACAATAAAACTACGAAGCTCATCTCGCTGCAACAACCATTCTGATGTTAACCATGGTATTTATACATTACGTATAGCTTTTATTCCAACCCTCCCTCACCATCACCTACAGAGAGGTAATGAAAAGAGAAGGTATGCTGTAAACATCTGCTTACTTCACTTTTTGGATAGTGTTCTGTTTGCAGAACTTTTTAAGCATAAAATTGCAGAGCCACTGCTACCAAGGAAACAGAAGTGAATGCCAATATAAATGCTATGGTATAACACTTGTACAGGCAGCATGCATGGGGTTTTTTTACTATATTCAAAAGCATTGCTATTAACGATGAGGAATTCCACCTGTCCTAGGGCTTTCAGGAGAACTTACATACCTGCAGGGCATTTCTGTCTCGCATTGCTATTTCAAAGGAAGTAATGACCACAGGATGAATTTGCAATGATCCGTGTCGCCCGTGAATTTTACGAACCAGTTTACGACGTTCCTGCTGAGCTCCATGATAGAGCATTATTGGAATCTGAAAAAAAAGAGGTTTAGAAAACAGGTGAATTAAGCTCATTTAAACCTAAACAGAAGACAGCAGAGATAATCAGCTCTGTTACAAGAAGGCTGTAAATACATTGCAAGTCATGGCACAGCATGTAGTAACCACATGAATAGCTACAATTAAACTGATGTTCTATATAAAGAAAGTTTCAAGGCAAAGAATTAGAGTAAGAATTAAATAATTTGTTCTTTTAAACCTAAGAAAGAAAAATAAAAATCTTCATTTCTTTTACCTCTGGAGTAAATCTCTTGAATTCAGACATCCAATTTGGAAGAGTAGACAAAGGACCACATACTAAGAATGGACCAGGAACTCCTCGCTCCACCATCAGCGCTATTGTTGCAATACACTGGATTGTCTTCCCCAACCCCATTTCATCAGCTAAAATGCCATTGATACCATTTTCCCAAAGCATCTGCATACATAGAAAAAGAAACATAAATGCAAAATAGCCACACACCTTAGCAACAACAGACATCTTTAAGAATGTAACACCTGTAGAAACTCTCTACTAGGCACATTTTATACTACAGACAAGTAAGATTTCTTCATAATGAAAATAAATACAAGCATCCTGTAAACCCCCGACATTCATACATAGGTGTATGTGCTTCTAGCCAATGAAGTGACTGACTAGGACGCAAAAACCAGAACAGTATCAAAGGAAAGGATGCAAATTAGCGTTACATCAAAAAGCACTTCAACTGCAAGTACAGCTCACACTACCCAAATTTTTACTTATCCCAGCTCCACAAAATTCCCTTAGATCCCCCCTCTAAAAGACCAAGTTATTGTGCTGATGTTTCAGTTTTATCTGTTCAAGCAGCTTCTACAGGTACAGCTACTTCACCATAAGAAAAAGGTGCAATTCCTGACCATCACAGCTGGCTTGACTACTCTGACAAGTGACAGAGCAACCTCTTACAAAAGAAAGATACAGAAGCGTTCTTTGGATACTCTACCTACTATTCATAAAGATTCATAAATAAAGTTATTAAAACTGAAGGCCCAAGGAAGCTGATTTATCCACTCCCAGAACAGGCCTGTCTTTTCTATGCACTTCCCAGTGACATAACAGAGTGAGTTTAGTGGCACTCACTTGTGAGATCAACCTAAGCCTCTTAAAACAAGATACACATGCTTGTGGGGAAGAAAAAAACCAAAAGAAAGAAGCCTAAAGGAAATAGCAAGATCAGTAGCACAATGAAAATTAGTTCTGTCTGGCTCTCATAATTTAAAAGCAAAGTTGTTCTAATTTGGCTTGCAAGCAAAACCAGGTAGAAATTAAATACGTATGTGGACAACTTTTATGGCAAGTTTCTTTTGTTTTTTATTTCAAAGGCTAAAGACAAAACATTTTAAAAACAGTGTATTAATATTACTAGTTATATTCCAAGATGCAGAGAATGGAAAACTCATCCATGTCAGGCCTGCAAGGCAGCAGGTCTTTAAACACCTATGGGTGTACCAGTGAGTATTCAAGCCCTTGAGAGAGAAAAAAATAGTAAGGTTGTCCCTTACCAGCATGCATAGTCCTCCTGCTTTCACAAAGTATTTGTAAGGAGAGGCTGAAAAGGCAGTTTGAGTTGAGCACAAAAATAGATGGGGAAAGGGAAGGTGGAAAACACCAACCAGAAAGTCTAAAGAAATGTTTACAAATATCCTCCCTACACTGAAACACTGTATCTGCTGTTTGACAACTTCTTCATAACACCAGATTCTTGTATCAAGAGAAATCATATCAAACTGTCTCTCTCCTTCACCTTCCCTGTACCAACTATGGTCACAGACTTCTAATGTCTCTTCCCCTCTGTCTCTGTTTACAATCAGCAACAGATTAAATTTCATCAACAATCGCTCCATACCCTTAGCCACTCCATGCCTTCCACTTGGTACCACCTCATTACACCTCCAGTAAAAATCTTTGGTTGCTGAAAAGGCACTGGTTGTCCATTAAACTTCCGTACTGGATCAAGAAATTGCTTGGCACTGTGTCGTACAGCTTGACACAATCTATCCTTAATGACGCTATTTGAGTCTCCATTTTTCTGCAGGTCTTCTGGACACAGGTTGTCAGAAGAGCTTTCATCCTATGAAGGGAAGTTCAAGGAACACATGGTAAATGAAGTGCACATCAAAGCACACCTAAGACATACTTTTGCCCAATTTACACCAGTCTTAATGTGAAGCCAGCCCCTGACACAAAGACTTATTTTCAGTAAACGTCAACTCAAGAGTAGAATTTGTTTTTAGGATTAATATTATTATGTAGCTAGATGTCAACATGCAAAATTTCAATGCCTTATACGCATTCTTTACTCCTTTAGAACTGAAAAGCAGTGATAGCCACTGAAACTAATTGGCTTATAATTCTCTACCCATAAAAGCAAGCAGACTTAAAATCTTCCTCACAGCAGCTGGCATCTAATGCAGCTATTTCCCTGCTGTAAGCAGATTCTAAAGAATGTCGGAAAGAAATTCATACCACGCATGTAGCTTTTAAACTACCTCAGGAGCGGAAGAGACCACACCTGTTATCTCCGTGCTTGAATGCTTAAAAACGACTATGTCTTAAGGTCTTATACACTAGCACAAGTATTTCTTAATAAATTCCTATTTCCTTTATTTTTGAAACTACAGACCTTCTATAAAGTATAAATACATTCAAATGGAGTGTTTAAAAAAATAAATTAGAAGTTTTCATCTCAGATTTCTGTAAAATAAGTATTTAAGTGCATTCACTTGCACCACTTTTTTAAACTTCTAATTCAGGACTTCAATATCTGGCAGAGATGATTATTTACAGGAAAAGTTTAAAGATATGCTATAAAACATAAAAAGCCCTCCCTCCCTTCAGGCTTAACACACTTAAACTGCAGTAACATGTGCCAACATACCTGATTTTCCACTTTACTTTTTTTTGCCACTGATAATATTTCCTGGAAACAAAGAAAAGAAAAACAACTTACACTTACACGCTTTTCAACCTTAAAGGCTAATACAACTTGTATTTCATGAGATCTTTCAACTGAAGAATCTGGACATACTTTAAAAAGCTTTCCATACAACATCATTAATCATATGAGTGACTCTAAACAAGGCCCCACACCAGAGAACACATTCCAATTATAAAGGGTAACTGAAAATTCAACTGGCTATGTAGTCTCTTCACAGCTTGCCTCCCCAAAGACGTTTTTAAAAGGTACCTGAATTCTACAGGTCTGACAACGCTGTTTGTCACATAGATCTCTGTTGGAAGACAGACGTACATTACGGACAGACTACTGTTGGTTGATAATCTCTAATGGCAGTGTACGAGAATGTACTGATCTAAAATACGGATGTCACACAAGGATTGCCTTACCAGTTAAAATCTGTGCTACAAAAATCCAGGCAAATCTATTTGTTGTTATGGCCTACCTCTTTGGACATAATCTCCGAGATGTTGTATGTCACATCTTCTCTCCCTCTCTTCTTTTTTGCACCTATAAGATAACATTTGCGTTTATACAACACATCAAATATTAAAGAAACTAAAACCACCAGTACTGACAAAAGGCAAAGCCTAATACATTACCTGATTTGTCCTCTTTGCCATCAACTGGATTTTGACCCTAGAAAATAAACATGGGAAGAGGTTCATCATCTTCTGCATCTCTAACTATTGTGACAGATAAAAATATGTAAAGAGCCTCAAGCCATTGCCTTTGAAAGCTTCCTGAAACACTTTTACTTTTAAGCAGTTTTCAAAAATACAGGGAAAAAGAAAGTTCCTGATTATTTTTTTTTTTATTACTTATTCAGCATCTTGGCTGAATAAACAATCATTACTAAAACAAAAAACCTCCTTAAGACAAATTCAAACAATTTTCTTCAGTATAAATTAGTCAGAAACATCTCCTAAGATGACTGTCATAGTATGCAATTTTTAAGCACTTTTAAACACGGTTTTATGTTATGTTTAAAATAAATATGATATACTAGATAGTCAAAACTGGCTAATCTAACTTATTTAGTTTACCTACCTTGATTGAAATTGACATGGTAATTTGTCAGACTTTTATTCAGACAGTTGCATAAAACAGCTGCTTAACCTTACCTTGGCAGATTTTAACATCATCTCTCTCTTTTTTTCTAACTTTTCTTTCCTCCTCTGTTCCTAAAAAAAAAAAAAAACAACAAAAAAAAACCACACACCAAACCAAACCACACACATTTCTTATCTTTCAATGACACCCACAGGAGAACTATCCATTATAGAAGCGATAACAGGCATAGATTACATTGGTAATGTAGAGTTCTGTCCCCTCTACAGATTTTGGTTTTGCAATCTCACTAAAAGCCTCTATTCTGACACAGTTTAAAATCATAAAGCAAAACTTGGGCAAGAAAGTGCAACTGCTCAGAATTGCTTGTCTGCGAATACTTTAAACATTTAAATACAGTAGTTTAGAAAGACTCCAACAAAAATATTCTCAATTGCAAACTTCTTAAGATCCCATGTATTGCAGTAAGTTTTCCATGTATGCAGCTCCCTTTTAACTTCTACATATCACCACTTGTGTTCACTGCGGAACAGAAAGCAACATAAACAGCCTACAATGCCTTTAAGGAAGAAATGCTTTTATGTCTTGAAAAATTTAAGATTTTCATTCCATCTACTATTTTAACTTGTTGAAAGCAAAAGGACCCTAGAAAAATGGTAAGAGACCTTGGTGTTTATCAGATGCGGTAAGACTTAGTACTGAAACATGCATCCTATCAATCAGTAACCATGAATTTGAGCTGACAGCTAAACTACAAAAGTATTTTAGAAAGGAGGTTCCTGCAATCTGTCAGTATCACTTTTCCAAGACCATCATTGCCCTGAATCTCTTCCTAAGATTCTCCCTCTCTCTCAAGCATAAACTCTTACAAGCTTGTCCATAAAGATACAGTTAAGAAAGTCAAGGTAAAGCTAGATATGAACTCAGCAACCCATGGATTAAAAAAAAAAACAAACAAAAAACCCCAACAACAACAACAAAATCCACAAAAAAAACCCCAAAACACATTAAATCATTTCATGGAAGCTCTTGTTTGGAGCAGCAACGCCTCAGATCGCTGTAATTTATAAATTTGAGGGAGGCATACATCCTGAAGACACACCTCATCCTCAGCCTTCAGTAATTAACACAAATAGGCTGCACAACTTTCTACTTGTCAATTCTTTGCATCTTCTGTCCTCCCCTCCCTCCAGGTTTCCTAGCTCCCTTAAACTTTGTTTCTTATTTAAAATATTTATTTTTTCTTCCTAGCACTCAGTCCAACAGAAGAATTGTAAAGTTATCAGTGCCACCTTTACACGGCAAAGGGGTAAATTATAATTTTACATTATAATTCATGCTCTTTCCAGTCTGATTTATCTATTAATTTGTAAAACAATTTCTGAATATTACATAAAGCATCACTTCATTCCTGGGCAGTAATTACAGTAGATTTTTATGTTGTTACTGCAAACTTAACAGCATTTTTACTTTAGTTCAAACAGCTGGATGGCAAAAAAAGCCCCAAACAAATGGCAGCCCATCTTCAGAATCCCCACTACACACAATAATACACCTACCTCCAGTTGCTGCTGTTCCATTTTGGTTAGCAAGAATTTGGAATAGATGTTGCTTTTTTCAAGCAAATGTTGTAGCCTCTTATAGCGCATTTCACTTGACTCCCTGTCCCAAGAAGTGCGAGCCTGGCCAAAACAAAGAGATGTCAGGTATTTATAGATGCTTCAGAGTTAATGCTTTTAATATAATGAAGGATTCATCCACAAGATAACTAAAATTGTCTCACACACACACAAAACCTTTCCCTTCCAGTCATTATGCATCTATGATTCTGTGAGTGTACGGACACACAGATACCTGTGAAGTGCTGCAAGATGAAAGTAACTGAGGGTTGCATTCACTCACACATATGAACAGAGCTCTGCAAAACACATGCCTCCAGTGCAGTAGCACAAGAAGGCTTGAAGGTGTCTCAACTCCACTTTATAGAGAATTAGAGCAAAATGAAATTTAGGTTTATTTGCAGCCTGCAAAATCGGGGAGGAAAAAACCCAAGTGTTAGTTGGGACTCCTCCATGTGCCGTTTGCACAAAAGTATGTTTTTTCATTATGAACCAGATATTCGGACAGCAACAAAACCATCATGCCTAATTTACAGAGGTCAAGTCAATTCCCAATGTGAAAACAGTAACTTCTGCTTGCTTTGCTTACAAAAATCCACACGTTTTTAAAAGTAATTTCTGTTGAATTAGTCAAGGCTGTGCATTTAGGAGTTTGCAAATTACTCTTTAAAACTCAGATCAAGACTCCCCCAAAGTAAAAAAGCATTCACCTTTCTGCATTCATCTAACATTGCCTGTTAAACTGACATATCAAACAAGTGAAAAGGTATAAATTAGCATCTCCAAGAGAAACCCCAGAAAGGCAAGATGCAAAGCTCTGCAAGATGCAAAGCTTTACGAGATGCTTATCTATGCCATCACCTTCAGAAGAAGCAGTGAGGGAAGGACAGGCTAAGACAGAAAGGCAAGGGAAACTGCTTAAAATAAGAATTCCCTCCTAACAGGGAGGGAAAAGGATATTAGCTGAATCACGAGACAAACTGTGGCACAGAAAAGGGGGAGCATGTTTCCCTCCCCCAGAAATCACACCTTTATTTTCCACAACCAGTACTCTATGGCATTCTTATCAGGTAGCTATCACCGTATTCTTTTATGAGAGGAAGATCTATCTCCCCAACTTTTTCTGGGGAACAGATTGCCTTCTTGTTACTCTCCAGACAGTTTCTATTTGCTTCTGCTCTCCCCAGTCCAGTTTTTTTTTCCTTCAGATGAAAAATACCTGAGCTCAGAAAGATCACCCCTTGATGGCAATGCCAAGAGAGAATATAAATTACTTCATTCAGCAAATTGCTATTGCTCGCTTTTTACTGGAGCGAACACAGCATCCTTACATCAATTGGTCAATCTGAAGGACCGTTCCCTTGATGGGAAACGTTCCCTTTTTCAAGGGGAAAAAAAGAAAACTCAAGGAAGACAACAGCACTGAACTCCTATGATTTCTCCATTTTGTCCTTTGATTCAACCTTCAAGCCTCAAAGTGGGTTGTTTTTTTCCCCCCTTTTTGACTGAGGTCAAAAATCTGCCACTCTCTCATCACTCTACATTCTTATACATTTGCATAGTGGTATCAGCCATCAGTCCATAGAAAGAACAAGTGACTCCTTTGTTGAACTGTTGTACAAATCGCCTGGCAGGGGGTTTGCTGAAGTGACAAGCATAGAAAGTCCAGAAGCTTCAAGAACGTCAACTGCCCCCAAGATGCCTGTAAGCCTGGGTTTACTGACACGAGTAATTTCCCTTGGTCTGACTGGCCTGAGATTGCACAGAGAAAACATGATAGAAGCACACGGGACAATAGAGTGTGGTTGCTAGAGGCACGTTCTGTGGATTTTCAAGAAACGGACAGAATACAAAAAAACCCAGCCCCATCACATTATAGCACTGTTACAGAAGTGGTCAGTTGTGAAAGAAATTAAAGTCTAAGTCCTCCTCTCAATACTTCCTGTGCAATGAGATAATTTGCTCGGCAAGAGTTTCCTCCTCACCCTCCAAAAGCATTTGCCTCCAAATGGCCTCAGATCCAAGTCTGATCAAGGAATATCTGATGAGAAGTTTGGACAGGCTCTGTCATGACTTATTGTTTGCAAGACAGAAGATTATGAGACTTCTGGGCGTAAAATGTTATAAAGTATTATTTTTCTAGCTACAGTATCACAAAACACTGCAGCCTAACAACATACCTTTACAGATCACAACTTTTCTTAGTGAAAAGAGAAAGAGTAATTAAAATTACTTCCACACCTTTAGAAATTGCATTTTTCATGTCCTTAGAATAATGCTTCAGTTTTTAAGACACCGGTTTCCTGTGGGCTGAATACAAAAGCTACATAATTAACAGAAAAGGGGAAAATGAGAGCGCTCTGAAATCAGACAGGGGAAGATAAAAAACCCATTGATTTCTCAAGTATTTTGAGTAACAGCATTAGTTCTTTAGAATACAATTCCCCAAAGAGCACCTAAGAGAAGAGTTCTTTCAAGTTTGTATTTGCTTACGGCTGAAATACAATGCCTTATATAGCATTCTGATACCTTGGTTATTTGTATCAACACAGGTCTAGAAGCATCATGTTTTCACATTTTCCCTCCAAAGCAGATTGGTTAATATCAACCAATGCTTACTATCAATGTCTGAAAACATTCACAGCAAGAGAGAAAGGAGACATAGTAATGATTATGTCATTTGTGGTAGGGATGTGTCATTTTCTTGAAGCAGTCTACATTTCCTGCAACATAAGCAAAGAGAAGTATCCAAATCAAACATCAACTCTCAGGACAATTACATGTACATTTCTCCCAGCAGCAATGCCAGCTCAAGCAGCTCCTGCTCCCCACAACCTAGGGGTGCCTGCACAACTGCATGCAGGGAAGAGCAGGAAAGTAGACCAGGAATGCAACTGGCATAAACCCGATCCTTTTTGGCTAGGTTTTTTAAGCTAGGCTACTTCCTTGGTGCAGTTCAGTTGTGGCCTTCAAACACCAGTGCAAAGAGAGTGAACAGCCAGCGATGACAGCTGCCTAAACTATACCTGCTACCAAAACAAATGCACCACTGGGCTTATTTCTGGGAAGGATAAATGGTATTTATAGAAGTGACCTGCAGAGCTGTAATCAGGTCGTTTGTTTGGTGGCTTTTTTTTTTTTTAATAAAAGAAGAGGTAAAAAGAGAAAAAGAAGCATTGTGTACATATAGAGAAAACACGAAATCTTGTTTTTAATATTTTAGACAGAAATTCAGAAGAATATAAACTTACTACCCCTTCTGAAATCACCTTACTTTACAGACACGGTACCTTAGATTCCTAGGCTCGGAACGACAAAAGTAAAGATGTAATCTTCTCATTGCAAACATAAACACGTACAAAACGCAGTAACCTTCTTGCTGAATGCAAGAGTTCACCGTTAGCCTTCAAAAAAAAAACCTCCAAAGCCTCCCGTGGACGATCAAAGGCGCTTGTGAATCACAGCCGCCGCCACCCGGAACGTTACAGCCTCTCACGTTTGTTTGTTTTGAAATCAAAGGAGCTGCACGACGCCCCGGCCCACAAGGCGACTAACGGCGCGGGCCACGGCGCTCAGACCCAAACCAGCGGCCCGGGGAACCCCTCCTCTCCACGGGGCAA